TGTCGAATGAAATTTTTGTCGAATACAATTTTTGTCGAATGAAATTTGTGTCGAATGAAATTTTTGTCAAATGAAATTTTGTCGAATAAAATTTTTGTCGAATAAATTTGTTGACAAATACAATTTTTGACGAACAATGTGTCGAATGAAATTTATGTCGAATAAAATTCTTGTCAAATAAAACTTGTCAAATATTTTCTGAAAGTGTCGAATATATACATTTGAGTGAAATATATTTTTTGAAAGTGTCGCATATATTTATTTGTTTCCCTAAAGGCGTGCCATAGTCTCATTTGAAATTATGGGTTTTAAAAGTATCGCGTAGTCGAGTAATTTAAACATTTGACTGAAGATGCGAAGGTCGTCGGTTATATCTCGGCCCGGCATACTCACATCGCTTCTCTGATCCTTTCCACTCAGGTTTTAAATTGGATTCGAACATCAACATGATTGGATCGGCCCGTATACATGCACGTGTGTGCTTGTAAAATGGCGCTTGGACGAAATATTCCTCAGGGAGCGGAGCGTGTGCACTATTGGGGATTTGTAATTGAATCCAATGACCACGGGGAAATAATAATTACAATGTAAAACGCTTAAAAACATAATATAAAGCGCTATAAATGTAATTATTATTATTATTACCATTATTATTATCATCATTTTCACTATCATTATTATTATCACTATTATTAATCGTTACTATAATCATTACCATGTAAAAGTCTAGTTTCATGAGAACGATGATGATTCTCGGACTCTATGACGAAATATCCTTTCAATTGTGTCGGGATATCAGGGTAGGGTCCTGACAACAGACACACCAAGACCTATCCAATATATCCAATATCTCACATTTGTTACGACGAGAAGGTTCTACATTATTTGATATTCACCCCCATCACCTCACAACACAAGCATACTCAAATAGCAAGAATATTATCGAAAAACAACTACACATGTATACGTTTTACCTATGACTGTGGTTGTTTTATGGAATCTCCCATTTATACCAACTGATAACGAATACGGATGCCCAACATTTACATGATCATGATTCATGAATATATATAATTGTGTATAAGATTCGTAAAACAGTGACTCTTGGAGGCTATACAGTGGCTTAGCACAGGGGCTCCCCCGAGCGAATGACACAACAAGGGGGGGGGTACTTGGGGAGAGGGGTAAAGACGAGAAAGGAAATATTAGATAATTAAGAATCCTCCCCTAATCGATGGTCTCGTTAATTCACACAACTTCATGCACTCATCTAGTAAGACCCCCCCCCCCCCCCGCCCGAATGACTGGCTTCATGGTTACCGTGACTGAACAAACAAGCATTATACTTGGGGCTTCGTGATATTTCATTTCGACTTGAGGCTAATCTGTATGCCTAGGCCTACGTATATTATGAACAATGAGCGCTCAAGTTGATTTGATATCATATTTTCAATTTTCTTCGTATTGTTATATCCCGATTGCTCTTTGTCCTGTCAATTACACTGCAAGATATGAATAGAAACTGAAATTAGCACTAAAACATGCAAGGTACATACTACAAACTTTTTCTTCAATTATGCTTTTGTAAATTGAGTTTGTGCAAACCACATGAAAAAAAAATGCTGAATTAAAATGATAAAATTGAAGTTACATTATTAAAAAATCATCAAGCTGAGAAACGTTGATACTTTGTACTTTCGTCATTACGCTAGGTCGCTAGCAGTTGCTCTGGGAAAAGCCCGAAATAATTCCCCTGCTCTTTATTCCTTCTTCTTCTTCCGTCTTCTTTCTTCATCTTGTTCTTGTTTTTCTTGCTGGTGTTCTTGTTTTTCTTGTTCGTATTTTTCTTCTTTTTTTCTCCTTCTTCTTCTTATCTTTTTTTTTAATGGTACACGTATAACCGTGTATATGCTGCGAATCATTTGGCGTCCCTACTTCCTTGTTGACAACATTAACTTTAACTGAGGAAAATATTTAATAGTGTTTCAAATAGCTTACCCGGAAACAAATCGTTTCGACGACCAGTGTTCCATCTTCAAGTTTGTAGTCATGGCAATTGTGGGAATGATGATATCACCTACCTCATCATTTCCCCAAATTCGATGATTTTTGTTTACGATGTTTGGTCTTATTTACCACTATCCTAGTCGATCATGGTGGCTGCATGTACATAGCGACCTATACACCGTACACAGGTGAATTCATGCAAAATACGGCTCTATACTCGTGTTCGAAAGAATCCGCAGTTGTAGTGTCATTTCGACATCTGTGATCCCCCAAGCGTACAGAAACACAAAGGAGGTTTACATGAGCATTTCTTTTGTTAATTTTCAATTTAGCACGATACCTACATTACTAAATTTACGTCAATGTTTCCAACTTAAAGGTACTATGTCCCATTTGCAGGCCAAACAAATGAAAAGGTTAAATTCCAACGGCATGTGAAGGATAATTTTAATTTAGAACTTCCCTAAAAAAAAAGGGGGGGCTTGAAAATGTCTTTAAGTGGGAAAATAACGACTACTATTTGTCGAATCGACTTAAGAGCTATAGAGCCAGTAAGTAATAGTCTGATTTTTCAGACCATTGTACTGAATGGTCGTACGTTTTACGCTGCGCAAAGATTCAATCAGTTTAATTTTGGCCATTACAAGAAGTGGGTTATTGATGTAGACAAATGCTTATGTACCCTTTACAGCTCATTTTATGTGTGTTACTACCAAAGAAGAAAAAAGCCAGCCAGTTACTCAATAGTGTCTGACAGTGAAGTCTAGCAAGTAAACGGGTTTACTTGCATAAGTTGAATATTAGGACACTGCTTACGTTTGAATTTCACAGATAGAACATAGATGACATATTCATAATTCCTGCAAAGTTCTACAGAATTTGATGTTGGCTGCAAAGGGACATAATATCTTTAAGAAACCTCTGAATGGTTAAATAATTTCAGTATCTACTATTAGAACACATAATACCACATACTACCAATACTCAGCCGTCTGTTAAAAGGTGTATCATTTCACAACTCTTGATTATTTGAATATAATTATGTACGTATAATTTGATTAAAAGCATATCATAAAATGTTTCATAATATTTACAAAATAACTTATCAACATTATGACAACATCCGGCTAAGCACACAATAAATGAATATACTCAGTCTTGTAACTCTTTGCATTTTCGGAATTTCAACACACTTACCTGTCATAATTCCGGTCATGGTTGTCTAGGACTTGGTTCTCTTTACTATAGCGCCGTTGCCACCTTCATTTTTCTTAATATCATATATCATTTCCGGCAGTTTATTGGAACTGGTAACAATTCTTACTACCAATTTGAGTTTGAAGTATATTTACAGTACTCTTGTTCAGCCACTCATGATTATTTGCATTCTTGCATAAACATATTCTTTTCCGGCAGTACTATTCCATTGTTATTGTTTATAATATTTCCCTTGATCCTGTTATTTCTTGTTTGTTTTAAATATGTCATTTGATGTACCATGGTCATTTCTTTTTCTTTAAATCACAAATGAATTGTTTATTTGATGTATATATTTACATTGTTTCACATGGCCCCAATGGAAACCAGTCTTGTAATTGTTTGGGCTTTCTTAACCGTGTATAAAAAAAGATGTCAAATCAATTCAATTAAATTCAACCTCATGAAGTTTCCTCTGCCCCTCTCTTTTGATTTTTAAAAAATTCGATTTGACGGACAATCATATTCGATATCAACACAACATTATTATATTGTATGAGAGTTATTTTCTCTCCCATTGCCATAACTGATGAATCAGATAGTGTCACCACGTGGTACTAAAATTATGTCTTATATGTAATAGGACACTGAACTCGAGAGAGAGAGAGAGAGAGAGAGAGAGAGAGAAAGGTCTTATACTGATTATACATGGTCGCATCAGCATCGATGGTTTGTGGTCCTATACCGTATACGTCTGACCATGGTCTGATCCAATTGAACAGATCACTCTGTAGCCATTATAAACTGAACAAGCAGGTCAGGAGAGAGCTCGAGACATTGTTGATCAGCATGCAATTTTTTTTAATAGGTTCTACACGTGTTTCAAAATTTGGTTACGCCACCACTGTCAACGAGTAATCTAACACGAATATAACGCGAATAAACAATGAATTGCATTATATATGCGACATGAGATGATCCGTGTCTTAGCATGGCGTCGTCACTTCAATGTTAGGGTCATCATGGCATGACAGTGCCGAAGTCTTGCTGGGACAGTGTCCGGTAAATTTTCATCGGTTTGGCTATCGTACGACATGTAAGTACCTGGTTGGTCATCACCTTCGAAGAGCTTGGTCGTTTCTTTCGTGGCATTACAACCTTCTTCAGTAGATTCAGTTTGGCTGTCATTAAAAGGAAATATGACACCAGATATGTACATTAGATTAGAGTATGTTGTGCTCAATTTAAAAAGAGAAATTCTTAAATGCACTAAAAAGTAGAGAAACGAAAGAAAAACAACGAGTTTAGTTCTCAAAGCATTCATTGAATATCATCTTACCACCTTCACCACGACAAAGGATGGCAACATTTCAATGTTGGTTAACATATTATCAAATGTCATTACTAGTGCTGTGGTTAGATTCGAACCAATGACCTTTGCATCTTCAGAAGAGTTTTTATTGTTTAAACTACTCAACTAAACGATACATTTGGTATTTTTTATCGTATTAAGTTCATACATCTTAATGTTTAATTCTTATCACTACCATTCATCCTGAAGATTCTTTTTCGAATCTTCGTATATTGGTATAGAGAGGTAATCCAACATGTTTGACCCACCTGTGGATAGCAACAGGGGTACGGCAGGTTATAGTATCCATCCGGTAGATAAGGGCAACACAGAGCAAACGAAACACAATGAAGTAGAGCAGCGAGACGGAAATCCACAGAATGATAGTACAATTAGTAGGAGTAGTAGTTATAGTAGTAGTAGTAGTAGTAGTAGTAGTAGTAGTTGTAGTAGTGTTAGTAGTATCATTAGTAGGAGTAATGGTGTTAGTAGTATAATTAGTAGGAATAGTAGTGTTAGTAGTAGAATTAGTAGGATTGGTAGTGTTAGTAGTATAATAACTAGGAGTAGTAGTTGCTGTAGTAGTAGTAGTAGTGGTAGTTGTTGTAGTAGTTGATGTAGTAGTTGTAGTAGTTGTAGTAGTTGTAGTAGTTGTAGTAGTAATAGTAGTAGTAGTAGTAGTTGCAGTATGAGGAGTGACATCGGTTGCTGAAAATATAAAATAGCAAGAGCAAAAGATTTGCAACATAAATGGTATTTGTGAAGGATTAGATGATAGAATTAGGGCAACATAGAGCTAGCAAAATGAATTTGAGTAAAGCAGAGAGACGGACCTACCCTGGACATCCACTGAATGATTAGACTTGTCACACAGAAATAGGCCCTACTTTAAGTACTCCGACGGTACGCAGGCGCGGATCCACGTGGCGATTTTTCCGGCCTGGCCTCCCCCCCCCCCCCCCCCTAGCCGCAAAACTGTTTAAAAATATAGGATAATAACGTAAATTTAAGTTTTTTTTTCGCCCTAACCCCCCAAAAATTAGTGGTTCTCCTTTCCATCACCCCCCCCCCCCCCCCCTCTGCGTATTCACCGGCTGGATAATCGCTGCTAAATATTTTCTCACGAATTGGGCCTCCCCACCCCCCCCCCCCCCCCCAAAAAAAAAAAAAAAAAAAAAAAAAATATGCTCTTACCCCCCCTCCCCCCCCCCCCCCCCAGCTTATTCACCAGCCGGCTGAGTTGGCGCTAACAAAAATTCTCAAGATTTGCCCCCCCCCCCCCCTCTTGTCGCCGGCTGGATCAGCCCCTGACGGTACGACCTATCTGGTGGGATCAAAATCATGCTGTAGAAAACCAAGGAGCCATTATCTAGTAAAACTTTACTCTAACATTAGAATGAATTCAAATGAAAGACGATACTATATATATATATATATATATATATATATATATATATAGTTTTTGTGAAAGTAGCAATTCTAAAAGGCATGAATTGTCACAATGATATCAACGAGATAGGAATTCAAATTACACATAATTATGCAAAAGGGGATAAGGGGATAAGAGAATAATGGTTGATTGGCTGAAATTAAATTTCAACCTGCTGTCCCCCCCCCCCCCCCTCCTTTGAGTATTTTTGGATATTTATATAAATATATATATCTAGTTCTAACGCTAAAAGGGAAAATTCACTTGCAGGAAAAGAACGGATATAAATATTGAAAGCATACTGGCATTAGTTACTACATCTTGGAGATGTCAGCACAACACATACAAACAGTTTTTTTTTAATAAATATTTAAAACCTTAGTAAATATCAGCTAGCAGCATAACTGGTAACTCACGTGTTGTCCTTAGTTGCTCCAGACTCGGTAACTTCAGAAACCTTGGAAGGCACTGGAAAACATGTAATGATTTCATGATAATAAATGTTTGAGCAAGAACTTTTATAAAGGTTGAAAGCATACTGACATGTTTTACTACATCTTGGAGATGTCAGCAAAACACATACAAAACATTCCATAAAACTAAATATTTAAAACCTAAGTAAATAGCAGCTAGCAGCAGAATTGGTAACTCACATGCTGTAATTGTAATTGGACTTGGCTCGCTTTCTTTATCCCCACTCAACGTCGTGATTGTGATGGTGTAGTTTGCTCCAGGAGTTGGGAGATCCGTACAGGTAAACATGGTCGCCTTAGCATCGAGGGTGTTTGGTCCTACCTTTGATCCACTTGAACATGTAACTCTGTAGCGATCATACACTCCATCAGGTGCAGACCAACTTGCTGAGACAGAGTCATGGGTTGCTGCGGACTCGGTAAGGTCAAGAACCTTGAGAGGCACTGGAAAACATGTAATGATTTCATGATAATAAATGTTTGAGCAAGAATTTTTATAAAGGTTGAAAGCATACCGACATGTTTTACTACATCTTGGATATGTCAGCAAAACACATACAAAACATTCCATAAAACTAAATATTTAAAACCTAAGTAAATAGCAGCTAGCAGTAGAATTGGTAACTCACATGCTGTAATTATAAATGGACATGGCTCGCTTTCTTTATCCCAACTCAACGTCGCAACTGTGATGGTAGAATTTGCTCCAGGAGTTGATAGATTGGTACAGGTAAACAAGGTTATATGGTATATATATTTATATGTATATATCAAAGGTATATAAAATGAACATCCTGTTGTACAATCAGAAATCCTTAGTGCTAGTTCTGAAGAGAACTTCAAATATAACAAACATACAGCGCCCGAAATGATGCTCACCTAGTCAAAATATATTCTATTCTAAGACAATTATAAGATACGTCACTTATTATTCTAAATCAATGAAGGGTCAGGGTTTATTTGCTCCATAGTACATTTAGTTATCTTCACAAATAAAAATCTAAATTTATAAATCCGGTACCGTAGTAGTTACATGTTTAAATAAAGTCAATTGCCTAGTAAACGGAACTACTCACATGCTACAATTGTGATTGGAAATAGCTCGCTCGGACTATTCGTACACAATGTCGTGACTGTGATGGTGTACTTTGCTCCAGGAGTTGTTAGATTGGTACAGGTAAACATGGTCGCATAAGCATCGAGGGTTTGTGGTCCTACGTCTGGTCCATTTGAACAGGTTACTCTGTAGCCATCGTAAACGCCATCAGGTGCTGACCAACTCGCTGAGACGGAGTCATGGGTTGCTCCAGACTCTGTAAGGTTGGTCACTAACAAACAATTACATTGATATACGTTCGTTAAAGAAAGGATCGAGGAAATAATTACACCCCTACGTTTCTTAAAGAATGTGAATGTGTTTCACGGTAATAGAAACACTTGCCACTTTGATTAAGATTAAGGTTGTTTGAGTACATTAACAATAATAGCATCAACATCAATAAGAATGATGGACAAATTTTGGACTTCTCGTATATCAGAATCAATGCAGGAGTCAAGAGCCTTCGCAACAATGCTAAGGTGAAAGTGGTAAATGAGGATTGTCTTGTCTTGCCACTACTATTATACAGTGCGTCCCAGAAAAAACGAAACCGAGAAGTATCGATGTTCTATCATAACTTAATCAAAACTATAATTAATGAATGATACATATTTGGAAAGCTTAGAGTCTCCTCTTTCAGTTGATGCTACTCAGATAATGCATATTTCACGCATGAGTGATTGAAAGCAATTTGAAGGAAGGAAACCAACAAGACATTTGGCGGGCCGTATCTGAATTTCGAAGAAAAATTCACATTTCTAGAAAGTTGAGTTTCTGCCCTTTCATATGACACCTCAATCAGGAAAATGAGCGAGGAATGACAAAGTTCTGTTTGTTTAAAGTAGTGCTTGCATTTCCATAAACGAATTCCTTTCCACTGGCTGCCTGCCGTATCAATAAAAGAAATTAACAAAAAACTTAACTCCGTTTCGTTGACAATCAGCCGTAGACGAGAGTCTTCATGCATGGCTGATTGTCAACGAAACGGAGTTAAGTCTTTTGTCAAATCTGCTTTTTGCTACGGCAGGCACCCAGTGAAAACGAATTCGTTTGTTAAAATTATGAAAATGTAAGGGCTACTTTAAACAAACAGAACTTTGTTATTCCTGTCTCATTTTTCTTGATTGAGGTATCATAATTATGAAAGAGCAGAAAATGAACTTTCTGGAAATATGAATTTTTCTTTGAAATTCAGATACCGCCCGCCAAATTACTTTCCGGTTTCCTTCCTTCAAATTGCTTTTAATCACTCATGCGTAAATATGCATCACGTGAGCATCAACTGAAAGAGGAGATTCCACGCTTTCCAAATATGTATCATTCATTAATTTTGGTTGTGATTAAGTTATGATAAAACATCGATACTTCTCGGTTACGTTTTTCTGGGACGCACTGTATAGAGATATCGACTGCTACGAGAGGACTGGCTGTTTTTGTATATACGCTCTAGGGAAATTTGCCTCCGCTGCTATCACCCCAAGGCGCGCCGAGGGGGTAGCGGAGGCAAATTTACCGAGAGCCAGTATAGAAACAGCCAGTCCTCGAGTATTAAAGCAGTCGATATCCCTTTTATATGCCGAATTCAAACAAAAATCTACCAAGAATTCTTACCTTATCCTTGTATCGAGTAAAGATCGGTTAAAACATCACGGAAATCTGATAAACTGTCTGTTTATCACCGCCCGAAAAATGACTGAAATTTTCGATCAGTTGGGAATTGCAGACAAAAAGCACTGTATGATGTCCGCACTCGCTCAAAGAACATTTTAACACGTAAACCAATGAGTAACGCAGCAAGATTGTATTATTTTCCCGGTAACTGGAATCTTGCAGGGATTTTACTCTTGGACTATTAAATGGTTTCGGCATTTTTCGTTTCTTTACGGGAATGGCTAAAATCACGACTGCAATTTCGACCAATCAGACGGCTGGATTTTTTAAGTGTGGAATATAAACTACACTACTACTGTCAGGGGCGTACGCAGAATTTTTCCAAGGGGGGGGGGGGGTTTTAAAATATTTTGCTCCCGAAAAAAAAAAATCGCAACGACTCAGCCAGCAGCCGAGAAGTCGCTCAGTGGGGGGGGGGGGGGGGGGGGGGGGGGGGGGGGGGGGGGGGGGGGGG